TTACGAGCAATTTGCTCGGCTCCGAAGCCGATTCTCAAAGAACCTTGTACGTGTGTGCTCTATTTTACTTAGGAAGATCCTGTATCCTGATTATCTAAAGCATTTGTTGAGACTAGGGTTTTGCTTAATCGGATGTCAAATGGTGGAATGATGCTACAATTGATATTTAATTGGATGACATAATGTTGGAATTTTTTTATTTAAAAAAAAAAATCGTTTTTGCTTATTTATTGATCTTCCTGTGAAGGGTTTGTTTCCTTATGAAATTTCTGATTGTCTGGGTTTTGGTGTAGGTATCCATATGTTACGGGTACCTCAGTGGTTGGTATCAAGTACAAAGATGGCATTCTCTTGGCTGCGGATATGGGAGGTTGGATTTTTTGTTTTATGTTTTGGGAAAATTTGCTTATTATTTTGCTTTGAAGATGCCTTCAATTATTAAAGAAGTTTAAGAACATTTAAGTAGTTACTCCTGGAGACGAAGAAGATTCTGATTTCAATTTTTCTGTGTTTACCTAGAGCTAGTTGTGGGTAATATAAGGATCTTGATATTTTACTTTCGGGGAGCATCTAGTTTTTTGGATGTGTATATTTATACATCTTATAATTTATGTACTTTCAATCTGCAACGCAGAACTAGTGGTGACTTTTTGACCAACTTAAATTGTAGGGATTGGGACCGAACTCCCCTCTCAGCGTGCTATGGGGGTTCGGCCTTGAAGTGAGATTTTATGTACTATGTGATTTTGACCTGATTTTTAGTCTGCATTTTTATTTGGGGTCGGATTTAGCAACTGAAATTTCTTCGTCCTACAATGTTAGGACTCAGGTGTCCGGAAAATGAATGCTACACAGACAAGTTGATTTTCATTATTTTCAAATGTGCTTGTGTAATCTAATTTAAAATAAATGATAGGGAAATGCCAGTAACTGGAATGTCTTTAGTTGTGGATCACGTGCGGTGTATTGCTTGGGAAGTAAAGCTCTCTGGATTTAGGACTGATTAATCTTTTTGAATGTTATGTTCTCTTTCCTGTCTGTTCAGCCTGTTATGTTACGAAGCCATTGTTTATGAATTGGTAATATGATATTGGTTTGATATTTCATGATTTGGGTAGGTTACACTGATAACATGGTAATATACATTTCAAATTCATGATGGAGAATGGGGGATCGGTTGATATGGCACATTTGTTAGCCTGTTTTCGTGAAGTTCGTAACAATAGATGGATATTTTCCTGGATACCTGTTAAGCCCAGCGACATTAGTTGTAACTAAAAAGTTATGTTGATATTGAGTATTCAGCTCGAAATTGTTTTGTTATTATTATTTGTTCTGGATTTTGCTAACTTATCAATCTCACGTTCTACTTATTCACTAAGTTCTTTTTTCCTTTTTCTTTTTTCTTTAATAGGTTCATATGGGTCTACTCTTCGTTACAAAACTGTGGAGCGATTGAAACCTGTAGGAAAGCACTCTATTATAGGTGCAAGTGGTGAGATTAGCGATTTTCAGGAGATAATGCGCTATCTTGACGAGCTTATGTAAGTCTTATATAACTTGACTGGACATAAATTTTTAAACTGATTCCTTTTGCCACTCTCTTTATGCTGTATTGGCTGATAATGGTGCTTGTATGAATTGTGTGAATAAATAATATGACTGGTTGTTGCTTATTTTCTTTGATGCAGCTTATTTGATAACATGTGGGACGATGGGAACTCTTTGGGCCCTAAGGAGGTCCATAACTACCTGACCAGGGTGATGTACAACCGTCGTAATAAGTTCAACCCACTTTGGAACTCACTTGTGCTCGGTGGAATAAAAAATGGGCAGAAGTATCTTGGGACGGTATGTATTTGTTTCAATGTATGTGTAGTCAACTACTATGTGCTTATTAGTTTGAGGTGTAGCTCAGTTAATGCTTTGTTCATTTCTTTAAAATTTTAATTTCTTTTTTTTTTTTTTTT